CCCACCACATTTCAAAACAGATCTGCGCCCATGAATTATTGTCATATTTATGTGCTGGACTAACAAGTATTTTAAAAATTTGTATTCTCATATGTGGCAAAGACAAGCCAAACCAGTCACTCCACTCAAAGCGTGTTTCAGAGATAATAGCCAAAACATGTCGGAATGTCAACATTTTCGAAATCTGTTTATTGCTCTAAACTTTATGTAGTACCTATACATACTGTATGCGCTATGTTGTTATTTTCCCTATTTTCTACTTTAAAAAACAATATTTTTCTAATCATGCATTGGTGATGGTCTCTGCCTGAGGAATGTCCCATATTCGTAAAATTTGAATTCTTATTTCTCAAATACTGTTATTTAAACAGCTGTACAGTATGTTTGATATCCCTTAACTTCATAATGAAATGTCAGATTTAAATGATTCTTTTACCATTTTATAACTTTCATTTTACTGTTTAACACAGTATTAATAACTTAGCTACAATCAATTTTTTTTTGCAAAGAGGGACTGGTTTGGCTTAAACCACATATTGAATATTCTTTTTGTAAAATATCAATTTTTATCTTTGTATTTTAGACTTCAGTGATTTTCGTCCTGCCAGGGTAGCTTTCCAAGCTGGCAGTCTACCTAAGGTAAGTTTACTTAAGCTAAAGACCAGGCCATTCAAGTTTATGGGGGATGGTCAGATTGTATTACAGGCTACTAGCTCTGACCATAAGAAACAAATTGAGAATAGTTTGTTTTTTAACTTTACTCACATTATGCGATGAAGCATGAAAGGTCAACATAGATTTGTCAATGGTTATTTATAGTCTTTTGTGAAATTGTTTACTTTTGAGTGGAAAGACAGACATCTTAGAAGCTAATATCTTCATTTTTTCCTTCACTAGGGTGCAAAGGTAGAAATCGATGCCATTGCCATGGTTGATGCCATTACAGATATTAATTAGCAATTGGACTTGGTAGCAAGTAGGCCTGATGGATAGATACTGTGAAAAATCAAAAACATGAAATCATTGTAATAATTAAATTACTTCTTTTTTCCAACTCCAACAGTAAAGCACTATCATTCTGAATGAATTTATTCAAAGAAATGAAATCATTCTAATTGTTTCAAGTATTTTTGGTTTTGATAAACTCATATCGGTAATACAGTAGATCATTTCATGTTTGGTGTTTTCATTTGGGATATTAAAAAAAAATTTTTTTTTAAATTTATATATAGTATCTATATAACCATATTTTTATTTGGGATTAGTTTGTCTTGGTATATATTGTATCTATTATAACAAAACACATTGATAGTGGTAAACTATCTAAAGCCTGATCTCTAACTAGATATCCTGTCCTTATCCACCCAAGATGTTCCAACAAGTTAATAATGAATAACTTGTAATGTTAATGAGATAGAGATTTTTGAATATTTAAAAACTTGAGGGAAAAAAAATGGTAACCACCCCCCCACTTTTTTTTTAGTTTTTAAATAATTATTATTATTATTGTTGTTTCTTGCTATTATTCTTACCATTATTATTCCTAATCAATTTATTGCAACTCATTGAAATAGTGTTTACCTGAATAGTAGAGGATAATGTTATACATATATAATATGTGTATTAAAAGCAATGTAAATGTTAGTGTCCTTGAGGGTATACTGTACGGTTTGTGTTAATATGAAAGTAAAAAGAAAAGGAAATTTGAAATTTGATTGAATCTGTAT